GTAATTCTGTACATTTAATTAAGTTATTGTTAATTGTTATTGGTTTAATGTAAGTGGCTATTGTTCGGGATGAACAATACTAAGGAGGGGGCAGTGTTGCGTCAGCGAGGTCACGTGACTAGTATCACGCCACGACCTTCTCGAACCTTCATGAATTGTCGGGAGACTATTAGATTGGGGGTAGGCTGGTATATATAAGACCTGCCACAAAGCGATGGAAACAGTGTGTAAAGTAATTGAACTGCAGTCAGAGAGAATATTGTTAAGCACGTGAGAAGTTTGTTGAGAATTATAGCGTTTGTTACAGAGCGACTGTTGAAATTAAGTGTATCGTAAAGTTGTATTCGGAAAGAATAACCAGTTTATTTAAGAAAGGACTTGTGTCGCTAAAGTTTAGTCAGAACGAATTAAAGGAAAATTAACTAACGAACGGAGACGTAACAGTATACACACAAATACCTCTGTACAATACTGTTTTACACACAAATACCTCTATACAATACTGTATACACACAAGTACCTCTATATAATACTGCATACACACAAGTACCTCTATATAATACTGCATACACACAAGTACCTCTATATAATACAGTGTACACACAAATACTCTATACAATACAGTGTACACACAAATACCTATATACAAAACAGTGTACACACAAATACCTCTATACAATACGGTATACACACAAATACCTCTATACAATACAGTAAACACAAATACCTCTATAAAATACAGTGTACATACAAATAGGTCTGTACAATAGAGTATACACACAAATATCTCCATACAATACAGTATACACACAGTTGCCTCTATACAATACAGTATACACACAGTTACCTCTGTACACTACAGTGTACACACAAATACCTCTATAGAATACAGTGTACCTCATTACTAGTGTAGTGACTCAGGGGTCAGTGTTTTGGTCTTTTTCATATTTATGTTAATGATATTGATAGGGGCATAATTAGTAAGTTAGTAGCTTTCCAGTGACATCAAGTACTGTGTATATCTGTGTGTGTATTGAAGATAACACAGAATGTCTTGGATCAATTGGTAAGTTGTATTTGGCAAATGGTTTTTAGTTATATTAAGTGTATGGTAATATGTTTGGATTATCAAAATTTGGATCACATGCTTAATATAGATTGAACCAACTCAATAGTATGACTGAAGAAAAGCAGTGTTTTGTTGTTACTGTTACTAAAGCAGTGTTTTGTTGTTAATGTCATCGAAGCAGTATTTTGTTGTTACTGCCACTGAAGCAGTGTTTTGTTGTTACTGCCACTGAAGCAGTGTTTAGTTGTTAATGCCACTGAAGCAGTGTTTAGTTGTTAATGCCACTAAAGCAGTGATTTGTTTCTTGTAGCATAGCTAACATAGTTTTAATTTGTATCAATAGACATATTGACTACAAGTCAAAACAGGTAATTATCTGTCTTATACAAATCAGTAGTTAGGCTTCATTTGGAATATGTACAGCTTTAGCATAATTATTTAAAAAAGGATATTGGAAAGGGCTCAGGCAAAGGTTGTTAGGATGAGACCAGGGATGGAAGGGTCACCTTATAATATGATAATATCTCTTTCTTTATCTTAACAAAAAAGAATTAGAGGAGATCTTACTGTAGTTAGCAAGATTATCTATGAGATCAGTATGATTAAGACTGTTATTTATTTGTACAATAATTTAAAAAAAATCATACTAGTGATATTCTAAAAGCATTTTTGTATTGATTTGATTTCATTCTGTCAACAGCATTATTACTTTATATTCTGAATGTTCTTGACACAATGCTTGAACAAACACTGAATTCCCCATTTTCCCAACTTCCCTGTAAATTGTTGGAAAAGACAGTATTGGAGAGGTGCTCAGTAATAGCTATTGAAATAAGGTAAACACTGATAGTAACAGAAAACCTCAGTAAAAGCTAGTGAAATAAGGCTAACACTGATAGTAACAGAAAACCTCAGTAATAGCTTTATGACATAAGTTTAGCACTGATAGTAAAATAAAACATTAGTAATGGCTTGTGAAATAAGGTTAACACTGATAGTAATAGAAAACCTCAGTAATAGCTAGTGAAATAAGGCTAGCACTCATAATAATAGAAAACTTCAGTAACAGCTAATGAAATAAGGTTAACATTGATAGTAAGAGTAAACCTCAGTAATCGGTATTGAAATAAGGCTAACACTGATAGTAACAGAAAACCTAAATAATAGCTATTAAAATAAAGCTAACACTAATAGTAAAAGAAAACCTCAGTAATAGATAGTGATATAAGGCCAACACTGATAGTAGATATATAACTAAGGTTTTCTGGGAAAAAAGGTTAACACTGATAGTAAAATAAAACCTCAGTAATAGATAGTGAAATAAGGCTAACACTGATAGTAACAAAAAAACCTCCGTAATAGCTACTGAAGTAAGGCTAACACTGACAGTAACAGAAAACCTCAGTAACAGTTAGTGAAATAAGACTAATACTGATAGTAATAGAAAGCTTGAGTAACAGCAAGTGAGAGTAAGAGAAAACCTCTTTAACAGCTAGTGAAAAAAGGCTAACACTGATAGTAGCAGAAAACCTGCGTAATAGCTTGTGAAATAAGGCTAACACTGATAGTAACAGAAAATCTCAGTAATAGCTAATGAAATAATTTTAACACTAGTAAAACAGAAAACCTCAGTAATAGCTAGTGAAATAAGGTTAACACTGATAGTAACAGAAAACCTCAGTATAACTAGTGAAATAAGGCTAACACTGATTGTATATGAAAATCTTAGTATAGCTAGTGAAATAAGGCTAACACTGATAGTAACAGAAAACCTCAGTAATAGCTAGTGAAATAAAGTTAACACTGATAGTAGCAGAAAACCTGCGTAATGGCTATTCAAATAACGCTAACACTGATAGTAATAGAAAACCTCAGTATCAGATAGTGAAATAAAGCTAGCACTGATAGTAACAGAAAGTTTCAGTAATAGCTATTGAAATAAGGCTAACACTGATAGTAAAAGAAAACATCAATAATAGCTATTGAAATAAGGCTAACACTGATAGTAAAAGAAAACCTCAATAACAGTTAGTGAAATTAGACTAATACTGATAGTAATAGAAAACCTCAATAACAGTTAGTGAAATTAGACTAATACTGATAGTAATAGAAAACCTCAATAACAGCTAGTGAAGAAAAGCTAACACTGATAGTAAGAGAAAACATTAATAATAGCTACTGAAATCAAGCTAACACTGATAGTAATAAAAAACTTCAGTAACAGCAAGTGACAGTAAGAGAAAACCTCTTTAACAGCTAGTGAAAAAAACGCTAACAGAAAACCTGCGTAATAGCTATGGAAATAAGGCTAACAATGACAAAACTAGAAAACATCAGTATTAGCTATTGAAATAAGGCTAACACTGACAGTAACAGAAAATCTCAGTAATAGCTAGTGAAAAAATGTTAACATTCTAAGAACAGAAAACCTCAGTAATAGCTAGTGAAATAAGGTTAACACTG